CCAGTTTTTTAAACTTAGTTGCTTATAGCAGGAAAAATGCAGCTGTTTATTCAGTCTGACCGACCCTTGAAGAGGCTTGTAAAAGAGAAAAGAGATGTCCTCTTTCCCTCTTCCACTATCTCCAATTCTGGAGTGCAGAGAATCCAAATCTGAAAGGGCTTGAAGAGAGCATTAACATCTTTTGGCTCTGAAACCTTTTGCCATCATGCCTCCCTTTAGACTAATCTTAATGTAGATCTTTCCCCCAAAAGTCAAAGTCCAAAATGAACATAAATGAATCACGAAACAGTACAATGATTGTGAAGTTTCCATTTCAAGTGTAGCTCTTGATAGGATCTCTGCTAAAGTGCATGCAAAGCATACTCTTTATTATAAACCTTTTGAGTTAGATATGAGTTATTCTTACTGTTAGGGGTGGGGGATGTGATCATAATTAGCAAGTTCAGAAAATTATTGAGAAAATTTGTTTTTGCAGTTCATCAGTCCCCTGGCAGTCATCTCCAAAAAGCTTCTTAATGTTATTGATGGAAGAATTTGAAGGAAAAATCATACTTCAAGGAAAATAATGGGTGAAAGTATTTGTTAAAAATTATTTTACAAGCAAGTACTTTGTTCTGTGTTGTCAGGAAATAGGAAATCCTCTTGAACATCCGCAAGAAGAGTAGATGCTGAAACCAAACTGTTCTAAAATATTGTGCTTGAGTACTGGAATATTAAGTTTCAACCATCAGTGTAACTTCATTGATGCATTGAATGTTTTTCTGTCTTTATGAAATACTCTATTGTTGAAAATACCATCTGCTATATTTACTTATTTTGGACCTGAGGGTGTAGTAAATGATGAGAGAGTATAATGTGGATGCAAAAGATGGTTTCAAGTATGCAATTGTTATCAGATTGAAAACATGTCCTCATCTTAACACATCATATCTTGAAATGTCAGTTTTAGGAGTGTTTTCGTGTTGGTGAGGTTGTGTTTTGCAATATGGTTTGTTCTAATGTTTATACACTGAATATGCTGTTTGATGTTTTCTAAAATAGTGACTTGTTAAAGGACGTGATAACTCTGAAAATCTGATGATTTTATCTTATCCTCTTAGCATTCATATTTCATTTAAAAGAGAGTTGCATACTGGATGGAATCAACCTCTTCATATTGTTTTAGAAGTTGTGGCAATTTTGGTATATTGCAAAACTAAACATAGGTTGCCTCAAAAAGGACATGCTGCATAATGTAAAGATGCAATAAATCTTGCACTTCCCAACTTGATGCCTTTCAGAGAGTTTGGGATTACAATTCCCAGAATTCCCAACCAGCATAGTTGATGGATATGCTGCCTGAAAATGAAGAAATTATTGTCCAATAAAACACAGAGGATCCCAAATTGAGGAGGTGGTTATTAATAGCCCTCTGCTACATTAATTTGTCTGATCCATTTTTAAACATGTTTAAAGTAGTGGTCATTAACAAAAGTTGTGGCAACAGCTCTAAAAATTAATGCTTACATAAATATTTATCTACTTTCAATCAATGTATTGATGTTATGAAAGTAAGAGAAAGGATGGAAGATTGTTGTACAATTTTATTACATGCTTTTGTAAATATTTTATTAATTTCAAGTTTTACAATCATAAGTACTTAATAAACAACTCGGTGTCTGGGTTCCTTTATCATTCAGTGGTATATATTAACTTTCACTCAAAAGCAAATGCTACACCATCCAGTATTTCTCTGATCCTCTCTTCTTCCAATAATAATCATTTTTCCCCACTATACAAGTATAATTCTTACCGCTATTAATACTATACAATTAAATATAAACATCTTCATCACATGTTTCTAATGTTATACATAGTGTCAGTAATATCAGTTTATACAGTAATATCTTCTCTAAACAAAACATATCTCAAATGTATTTGCAATCAGAGTTCCCTTATTCAATCCGTATCCTGTTTTTCTTCTCTTTTTTTTCAATTTTAATTTCCCATCAATCTTCAAAATAACTTTATCAATTATGTTTTTTCTCATAATTAATTACATTTGGGTAACTGAAAGCTTCCCTTATACCGACCCTCTTAGTATTTTCATATTTCCCATCTTATAGAAAATTATGTTATCCTAGATACAGATCACATCCTTCTATTTTATAATGGTCCTTTTATTTCTAACAATTGTCTATTCTTTTAATCATATTCAAACATCCATTAGATGGTATAATATCTCATCAATTAGTCAGGACATCTATTTATTACATGCTATAGAGCTTGTTATAGCTTACTATTGAGTTAACTTACATTGTATCATATTTATATCAAGAAGTTGAATATGCCAAATACTTGATTCTGGGTGCTGCTTCCTACTGGGTTACACTATCCCTGATGCCTGGATGCAAGTGAGAATTATGCAGATGTTTCCCAGAAGGTAATAGCAAATGCTTAAGCCTCCAAAAAATGTGTGAGCTTTTACTTTTCTTACAATCTTGACTACTTACTGTAGATACTGTACATAAACGTTGTGGTTCAATTCAGATCTCATATGACTTCATTTGCTCAGTAATATGCTGAGAGTCAGCAGTTCTCAGGTTAAAGATGTCACTTATGTCAATAATCAACAACTGCCCCACTTCAGCAACTATGAAACACAGAGTTTCTTGAAATGTGGGATGGTGAGAAGAAGAGGCAACAGATTTAAACTGCTGTGGGGATCTGGAAGCTGCATCCTCATGCTTGGGGAGGGGGCAATTAGTTGTTTATAAATTCTGTTTATAAGCTGTTATTTGTGAATGCTTTCCTTTCTTGTTTTTCAGAACATTTTCAGCATCATCTTGATTTAGCATTATCAGAGGGACACATTTTAAAAATCAGTTCTAATTTTTTAAAAAATTTGAATTGGACAAACTTGGAATTTAAAAACTTAGCTATTATATGGGAACAGTTGTCAGAGATATAATTAGCCTAGCTTCTCAAAATTATACACTTGAGCAAACATGGAGGTTTTGCTACATGGTTCTTTATTTGCCTCATATTCTCTTGCAACTTAAAACACCCCAGTCCCTTTTCCCTTTAAGATCCTTCATTCTACTCAGGGTGCCACCTTGAGTTAACTTTTAGTGATATAAAATATGATTTTGCAATATGAGCTAAAATGGTTAACATAATTTGGTGGCATTCATGATTAGAATACGAACTGATTTTTTCCCCTAATACAGAACATGCCACATCAGTATCCAAATTGTATTGATAGCTTTGTGAAAGGTCTTACAATAGTACCTTCTTCAGACAAGGATGAATTTTGTGCAACTACGTAGAAGAATTGTTCAAAGCATGTTTAAAAAGAATTACAAATCTAACTTCTCGCTATGTTGATAGTGTTTTCCATGAGATATATGCCATGTATGTTTTGTGATGAAAAAAACATCTCTTCTAGATTGTTTCTCTCTTGATGAACCTAGAAAGAGCTCTGGTGCCAGGTATCTTTAGGTTAGTAGCTCCTTCATATTTTTAAATAGCTTATTTGGGAAAGAAGTGTTAACATTAGCCTTAATGGCCAGAGTGAGAAGTCAAAATAAAATGTATACTCTAGCTTTGTATTCTCTGACTTTTTGAAATAAACCTTTCTAGAAGAAAGATATGCAAGGGCAGTTGAAACAATAACATCCTAAAAGCACTTGACACTTGATGTATGATCTGAGACTTGATGTATGATCTGCTATTGGGATGATTTAAATAATTTAACAACATGATGAGAGAGGAAGATGAAATATAACTAAATAAAGGTTTGGGTTTCCAGAAATGGACACTTTCTCATTGTGGTTTGCTTATTTACCAACTAGGGCTGGAGGGACAAAGACTGAAGGACATTGTCTGTAGAAATGCTGCAAGAGTTTGGAAAATAAATGGCTGGCAGGAGGGACAAAATGTTCTGCTCTGAGGCTGCCTTTGGAAAAAAAGAGTTGTAGAGGAACATTTAGCAGTATCTCTATTGTGTCTCTGTTTAAAATATTAAAATTATGGCAGGCAGTGGCTGAGAGAAGAAAAACAAATACAGCTGGGGAACTGATAAGCTATAAAGGACAGGTATTTCCAGCTGGAATTAGAATACCATTAATAAGTTTCTCTGAAGTTCTCTAGGAGAGACATGATCTGTGTCTGGAAACATGAAAGTATAGCTAATATACTATGGTGCATTCTGATGTTGAAAGGTCAGGCTATATTGGCTGTGTCTTTTGGCAACGCTGCATCCAAGAATAGAAGACTAATTGTAATAGTCTGAAATCCTTGGCATGAATGTGTTTAGGCACACTGTTTGCTCTTCTCTCACTCTCATCCTTTCCATCCATATATGGAGATAATACCGTCTAGTTCTGCAAGGTTATGATCACCCCTTGCATCAAGGCTAGGAATCAAAGCTTGTGAGAACCCCAAAAGCCAACTGAGCACCCAACGCTATAAAATCCAAAACTGGGTAATCCTATATCTCCAAACTGTTCACAGTTATGTTTTAATAATGCTGCATCGTTTGTATTGTGGATTACGTACTCTCATAATCTTTTGGGCTGACAAACTGAACTTTTAAGGCAGTACAGAATCAAACAGATAAATGTTAAAGTTATAAAACATTGATCAATATGTAGACAAACATTTTAACTTATTAATTCAAGTGAACATAACTTATTTGGAATAGAAATTACAAATTGTATGTAAACTACAAAGACACTGTTATTGCTCTCCTTGCTTCTGTTTGGATATGTTTATATCCCTGGCTTCTCTTTCAAGGACTCAGCTTAGCATTTTTCTTCACAATTTTCCGGTAAGGAAAATATGAGAAATAGTAACTTGTCCAAAGTTAATGAGTGTATTTTGCCAAATTCAAATTTTGCATCTCAAATGTGAAAAAAATCTGCTACATTTGCTCTGCATTTTCTTTTCCTTTTTTAAATAAAGGAACAGATTCTTGTATATTAAAAAAAATAACAAATGCATTTATTCTTATTTTTCAGACTGTCATTTTATTCTGGACATTCATCATTCTCCATGTATTGCATGCTGTTTCTAGCAGTAAGTATATGTATTTTTAGCAGCTGGTTATGATGTTTAAAAAGTTTGAGGTGGAAATATTTGCTGCATCAGCAGAATTTCTTTTGGGCAATTTGTGCAAGGGAAGCATTAAATAAAAGTGATTTGGGGCTGGAATGGGGGTGTTTGGAATGCTTGGTCAATACCTCCCCGCAGACTTCAATTGAATTAACAGGATATTTTCAAGCCAGATGAACAAGTAGATTGGAGAATAAATTTGGAATATTTTTTTTTAAGTCCATCAGTTAAAAAGAAATACTCTTTTCTTTTACGTAGTACTCTAATTGGAATTTCTTTAGGCACAATTACATCTGTATTATTTATATTCAGTCTTGCATTAAAATGCTGCTGAAAGACTTGATTTCTTGTCTTCTTGCACCAGCTATCTCTTGGAACATTCTTGGAAAGAATATTGACTGACCAAGTGGATTTCTCTTATCCTGCCTCTCAGAAAATCTCTCTTTAGCTATAATTGATTATATCCAAAACTGTTTAAGAAAATTAAGTTTTGGGGAACCTTTTATCCATATAGGTTGTATTATAGCTGCAAGCTTGATTGGAATCCCTTAAATGAGACAGGCAATTGGAAGATGGAGATGTTTATGTTTGTGTGCTTGTTCGTTTACTTGTGGGCTTATCTGTCCCCAGCTGCTTTGGTAGGGTAGGCATAGTCCAGGTCCCCACAGTGTAGTTGTGTTGCCTGATGGATCCTTTGAAGTGTGCCTTCTCTGTGATGGTGCCTGACTTGTGGAACAGTCATCTGCTGGAGAAATGGATGGCCTTAATCCTATTGACTTTTGGAAAAATGATGAAACCTGACTTTTCCCCTAGGATTGGGGCCGGGATGTTGATGAAGCTGAGATAGAGGATGAATACAAGTTTTATTGAGGCCTCAATGATGTTTAGTGTTTTAAATGGTCTTTTTAGTGTACTGTGTTTTTATTCTGCACATTGCTTAGCGTTCTCTCTAGTAGAGCAGTTATCTAATTTTGTTTAATAAAATAATAAATGAGAGTTTATTTTGCATGTCACAAAACAAATCCAAATCTTGTTTGTAATCTGCAAAGTCTCCTGGTAGTTGACCATAGTAAGATACTCAAAAAGGACATACATTAAAATGTCCATGGTAAAATAGGAATAACTAGAGAGAGAGAGAGAAAAACATAAGTTATTCTTGAATGCTCATCGCAAGAGATTTGTTTTAATTAAGGCCGAAAAAATTCAGTGGGATGGGATGGGGAACTAACTTAGATTCTGGAAGGAGGCTGACCCATAAAAGCCTATAGGCAGGTCTACCTTCCCTTTCTGAGAGTGAGAATCACCAGCACCTTCTCCCAGAAAACACACCTGTCAAGCAAATCACTCTGGCTGGAGAAGATTAGCCTGCAAATCCATAGGTACTAAGCCTTCTCCTCATAGGTGTTTTCTGCACCTATGCCCTTGTTATTTGGATTAGAAAGTGATGCTCTTGTCTGACACTTGGGAAGAGAAAGTATCTTGCTATCACTTACTTTGGTCCTACTTCTCATGCCATCCCAAGCAAATTATCTCTGAGAAAATGCAGCCTCCCCCCCCCAAAAGGAGGCTTGTTTGGTAGGGTCGTGCAACTTAAAAGTGAACTCAAGTGCAGAAAGATGAATTACTTCCAATGATTTTTATCTGATAGAATGGACAGATGGAGGGGTTAAAATATGAAGCTGTTAATTGTGCAATCAAAATGCTGCCTCTTTCTAACATGTGTTACGTGCACTATGTATGTGAAAAAGCTTCAGTTGCATAGAGTTGTCATGGCTGCCATTTGACTGTTTTTAATCACCCTCTTGAACAGTTCTGGGTGGAAGTAATCTTTTTTTGGAGTGCTGAGCTGCTTTTTAAATCACATTCAGAACACCCTAAACATATTTTAGAGAAGTAATTCAAGCAAGACTACAGTATTCTTATTTTCAGTAACATTTATTTCAAGATGGTCCTTTGGCCATTATACAACAAACGGGCAGCAACACAATAAACTCTAATCATAAATCTTGAAAGTCAGCAGTACAAAAGTCAATTAAAAACATGTTAAAAATAGTCAATCAATCATTTTAAGCTGATGCTGAAAATAATTCTTTTAGTACTAGGCACTCATCCATTTTTATTATTCACAAAATTCTCATTTCCTTTAGTGGGTCAGAATAACTGGCAAACCTAATTTGTATTTGTCTTGACATTGTTTTTTGTTTCAGTTCAGAGAAATTGCCAATTTGTTTGGAGGGATTAAGCCAATTTATAAAAGGAGAAAATGGTGCTCACATTTTTATTCCTCCAAACTACCATTTCCTAACCTGGCCCCTTTGTTTTGAGTAAACTACAACTAGTCCTGATCATTCGAAGGCAAATAGATAAACCAAGTTGTCTTGATGGGCAAGGCTGGCATGTCACAAAATATTCACCGCTTTGTCTTATTTATGTAATGAAGGTGGGATTTAAAAAATCTGAAGAAATAAATTGAAAATTAATTTTGGTTACAAGATGTCTAACCAATTCCTTTCTAATAAAAGCTGCACTGCCTTAGCTTCATGCTCTTAATTTACAATAAGAATGTTGGATACAAGGTACCCTTAACAGTACATTATAAAGCACCAATGACATACTGAAGTGCATGGGGAAACTCCCCCCCCCCTGCATAAGATGAGTTAGGATCTTGAGAATGTCTTGAGGAATTTCCCTATAGGAACGCTCTCAATTCTTGAATGAGTTGGTTGTATTATCTTATGCTCTAAGGAAGAGTTTGTTCAATTTTGAAGTTCTTTCCTATTAAAGTGTCTTGCCTCTTACAACATACAGATGTACTCTCCATTGGATAGTGCAGAATTTTGTTCCCTTTCAGTCGGCTACATCTGCTAACCTGTTTCAAATGTTCTTTCCAAGCTGCTTCATCCTGCCGCTTGCACGCTTGGCTCCAGCTGTGAGTCTGCTGCTCCTGACTCTCCAGTTCCTCACATGTGGCATTACTCACAGCTTGGATGAATCATAAGCAGACGCTTCAAACTCCAGCCTCTTGAGGACCAAAGGAATCTCACATATGCTAGTGTGACTGACTGTGCACACAGACAAAATCCCAAAGCCAACCCAAAAACTACAGTTGTGCAATCCAGCCACATTGACAACTAGATTGCAGTTCTGAAGAAACTATTGGCACTTCAGACTCTCCTTTTTCCATCAGAGTATTCTCTTCAATGTCTCCTCTTTAAATTCCTTCGGATTGCAAGAAGGTCCACATGCGTTTGGAGCAAGGGTTCATTTGGGCCAGTGTAGTTACTGTCCTCACTGAAGTTTTTGGTCCTTTCTGACCTCCTCTAGCACTACTGTGGGTAGACTTTGACCTGCTCAAAAAGGTGCACACAAACCTATTTTGTAACACAATTTGAAATTCAGCAGCATGTGAATAAACATTTTCCTCTCCTCTCTACAACCTTCACCCCCAAACTCTCTTTTAGAAATTCTTCCAGTCTTCCAGAATATATACAGGCTGCATTTATATGATTCTCTTAACCTGTATTTGCACAAGATGTCAAATGGTAAACTAATCAAATGAGTTGGCTTGCATAGCAGGCTAAGCCATAAAAAAGTTAATTTTAGCCAACTTTATCATATTATGCTTTAGGACAGATATACAAATAAATATGATCATAACTGGTACCATATGCATATTTCTTATCAGGACTCAGCCAATGGCAGAACCTGACTGACCCAATCTGAGTAAGAAGCTAAGCAGAAAAGGGTTTGGTTAATACTTATGGTGAGACCTGTAGGAAATCCAGGGGTTGCAAGCTAGATTGGGAAGAAAGCAATGGCAAATTGCTTCCATATGCCTCCTAAGAAGGCCGCAGTGATGCAGCCACAAGGAATAAAGCCACCTTGCAGAGGTCTGTTACTGCATTTCAGCCCTTGGGCTCAGAAATTAAGTATGATGAGTCCTGCTTAGTCTTTAGATAGAAGACTTCCAAGGACTCCTAGGACAGTAGACTGTGCAATAAAGAGGAAAATGCCCAGAAAAAGACGTTGGCAAAGCACTTCTGTGTAGTTCAAAGAAAACCCCATGGCTGTGTCCATGAAGTCACCAGGAATCAAGCTGGACTCAAAGAAATGTTATCTTTTACTTCTTATAAAATGAAATTCATGTTATGCTGTCTTTAAATTTGTTTATCTGGTAATTTACATACATTCAGAAATTATCAGAATTCATTGGGCAAAGTATTGCTGTTTCTTTTCAGCAATGTTAATAGAGAGAATGCTCAACTTAGAACCAAAATTGGGACAGGAACTGCACAGCAATATGATTATTAAATGGGTTGCATCTGAGTTTTTGACCTTTTTGCCATGGTTGTTAAGCGAATCATTGTGGTCATTAAACAAATCCAACTTCCCACATTGACTTTGCTTGTTGGAAGCCCTCTGAGAAGTCGCAAATGACTTCCCAGAGGAAGTAACTCATGTTACTTGAGACACTGCAGTTGTAGTAAATACATGTCAGTTGCCAAATGCCCAAATTTTGATCACGTGAGCACAAGAATGCTACAATGGTCTTAAGTGTGAGGACTGGTCATAAAATACTTTTTTCAGGGCTGTCATATCTTCAAATAGTTGTTAAATGGCTGTAAGTCAAAGTCTACATAAGACGCTTGTTTGTTTCACAGATATATGGTTTAGGTATTTATTTCAAATTCAAGAATTCTCAAAAGTGATTTATTTATTCCTATTTTACTGCTATAGTCTTAGTAGATGACACTAACAAGCCAGACTTTACCAACTGCATATGCTAAGCAGTGTCAGCTGGGATGGGGGACTGCTTGGGAATTTTAGAGCTCTAACATAGATTGGGAATTAATTTAAAAAGGCCATAAGAAGGCAGTGACAATTTTGTATGACTGTCAGAAAGGCTGCATGGATGCAGTCCCTAGGCATCATATTCAACTTGCAATTTTTACCTTTTTTGGCTT